CGATCACCTGATGCTGTCCTGGTCATTCTTGTCAACGTAAACCTGGCAGAAGAAATCAACACAACAATACATTTCTTATTAACTATAGGCTACAGTTCAGTTCCTTCACAGGATTTTCTTTAAAAGCAGTTACCTTAAACTTTACAAAATATATTTATTTTCAGAGATTAGGTTCTCTGCGCTCTGATTGGCACAATACTATATTTTACCTTGTTTTATCGTCTGTACTATATTCTACCTTGTTTTATTGTCTAGCCCAAACTAAATAAGCTAAAAGTCATGAATTATATTGTAAAATACACTACATCAACCACAGAATATCAAACAACAAACTTGAAAGAAGTAATTTGATCTAGAAACCTAATTCTATTTGGAAAATACACTCAGATTAATCGTTAACATTCAACGAAAATTGTGGTCCCTGAGATACCAGGAGCCCTTTGCCAGAAAAAAGGAAGTACTTGCTTTCAGTGAACCTTACCCATCTTTCTGAAATCAAATGTCACGTCATCTCCAATCAGTATAAAAGGTGCCCACTGGTTCACGTCATAGCCCTTGCTTCTCATCCACTTCATGGCCTCGTGTAGAGATTCGCCAGCGCTTTCCCCAGCAACAAGGTGATCGTAGAAATGTCTCATTAACTGCTCGGTCGCTTTGTCATCTAGGGCCCACAGTGACACCAACACTGAGCGTGCGCCAGATCCTAAGAATGCTCGGGCAATTCCAACAGCTCCCTCGGCTTTTGTCTGTCCACGAGCACTGCGGCAACAGCTAAGGACTACCAGTTTAGCTCGCACTTTAACTTTTGAAATGTCAGCCATTGTCAATAAGTAGAGTCCTTCTTGAGGTATGCCATTAAGGATACGAAAAGCCGGTGCAAGGGCAATTTCTCCTTTTTCTGCATCACCGTGTGCGGCAATATGAATCAGAGCCACTGAATTCATCGCTTGAAGTACAACCAGCTTAGTCGCCTGCTGTCCTAACAAAGGCTCAACACCCAGCTTTTCTCCTACCATTCTCGCTTCGTTTTCTGGACAAGGCAATCGTGAAATGTTTGTGAGGCGTCCTTTGAAATGCACCTCACCAACATCGGGATTTCCTACTATCAAAGCACCCGTCTGACAGTGATAATCTGCTGGACTGTCTTGAATGAGCTTGAGAGTTGTTAAAGAAGGAACGACACGGATCCTGAAAGTCTCCGATAAGTACTTTCCACTTTCATCGGTTAAGGCAGCAAATGGGATTTGGTATAAAGCGCGATCAGGGACAATGATGATTTCAGAGCCTACAAAGAAACTCGCCACAGGAGCAATGATAAGTTTGTAACAGATAGGAAGGTTCATTTTGGGTCCTTGATTATCTTTACTTTCTTCTCCAATTCGCCAATCTTCGTTGTTGTCTTCCTCACAAGATTTGGATTCTGGCTGAAAACTGTGTAAAGATCGGTCTTCGCAAATCTCCTCTGGTAAAATGCCAAAACTTCTGAAATTGAAAATCTCTTTCAATTGTTGACCTAATCCTTCGTTGGCAATTACCTTATTTCCGTTAATCCTTTGGAAATTTGTGATTCCGCTCGCTTTAAGAATCCACAAGTATATGCTGTCAGAAAAATATGACACATACAGACACGTGCGGTTACTTTCTTTGGTTTCGATACATTCAAGACCAGACCATGTTCGAGGATTAGCCGAGATTTGATTCTCCACAGAGTACTGACCTGACATTAAATCCGCCAAAGCCCTGCCCCTTGAAAGCTCTGAAACATACAGAGCTTGAGTGAAATGTCCAGTTTCACAAAGCAGTGAACCGAGTTCTCTGTAGGAACGAACATTTCTCTCCAGAAGCGAAATGTTAAATTGATCATTGTGGCGGAGAGAGCCGCGCATTTGCTCGCATTTCTCAATACCAGAAAGGAAATACGAGATAGCTTCCTGAATCTTTCCTTCTCTTATTCTTAGGCGTGCCATCAATTCGAGCGACATGAACTGGAGCGAAATACTTTCAATCTGTTCACTTAATGCAAGCCCATTCTCAATATATTCTTTTCCTTGAACATATTTATCCTGAACGACAAGCAAATGTCCAAGCCTTAAACAGCCTTCTGCTTCTACGGTACGGATTCCAATTTCTTTGCTCATCATAAGTGCTTTTTCATAATATTCTTTTGCCTTGATTGAGTTACCTACACACCATTCAATGTTGCCTTGGGTGAGGTAAGATGAGAACACACCTTCTCTGTCTCTTATTTCCGTACAGATGGCAAGCGCTCTCCGGGTATAGTCGTTAGCCTTGTTATACTTACCAAGAGAGAGAAATTTGACTCCCAAATGTAGGTAAGACTTAGCTATTGTACATCTGTGTCCATTTTTTCTGCTGATGGCCAATGAGTTTTCCCAGCATTTTGAAGCCTTTTCATATTCGCCAATTGAATGATACACACTTCCAAGGCTTCCATAACAGTACGCTTCTCCCTCTCTGCCTCCAATTTCTTTCCGCATCACAAGTGATGCGGAGGTATTTTCTAACCTGCTCATATTCTTCAACTGATTGATAGGTTTCTCCGAGGTTTAAGTAAGAGGTAGCTTCTCCACTTCTGTTTCCAATTTCTTTCTGGATCAGAAGTGATTTCTCGAGGTGTTGTCTAGCCTTCTCATATTCGCCAAGTGATCGATACACACGTCCAAGGTGTCCGTGGGAGGAAGCCTCTCCATTTCTGTTTCCAATTTCTTTCTCGATCACAAGTGATTTCTCGTGGCGTTCTCTAGCCTTCTCATATTCTCCACGTGATTGATACACATTTCCAAGGCTTCCATAACTGTACGTTTCTCCTTTTCTGTCTCCAATTTCTGTCTGGATCAGAAGTGATTTCTCGAGGTGTTGTCTAGCCTTCTCATATTCGCCAAGTGATCGATACACACATCCAAGGTTTCCGTGGAAGGAAGCCTCTCCATTTCTGTCTCCAATTTCTTTCTGGATCACCAGTGATTTCTCGAGGTGTTCTCTAGCCTTCTCATATTCTCCAACTGATAGATACACATTTCCGAGGTTTACGTAAGAGGTAGCTTCTCCATTTCTGTCTCCAATTTCTTTCTTCATCTCAAGTGATTTCTCGAGGTGTTGTCTAGCCTTCTCATATTCGCCAAGTGATAGATACACAGCTCCAAGGTTTCCATAACACATAGCTTCTCCACTTTTGTCTCCAAATTCTCTAATGATTAGAAGCGCTTTTTCATAGAGTTGATTTGCTTTTGTGTATTTACTTTGACCGAAACACATACCTGCAAATGTCATGCTTAGCCTATATTCTTCGTCTTTCATCACTTTCACGGCAAATTTGAAGACGTTTTTCTGCGTATATTATGGCGTTTGTGTTATCGCTGATAAGACTACAAGCCTTCCACATTATAAAATATATCCTCTTGTATAATGATTTGCTCAATTTCTTGCCTTTTAAGTCTGCTCTGTCTTTCAGAATGAACAAGCATTCCTTGCACAGTTCGATGGCTCTTAGTGATCGACTGGTGTTAAGAAGGAAGCCAGCAACAATGAGGCCGATTGAGATGACTTGTATAACTTCGTCTACGTTGTTCATTTCAGACGCTTCTATCAGAAGATAACAGAGAATATTGTACATGTAGAAGCGGCTTTTAGGACTGTCTAAACATGACAGTCATGGCTTTTATCTGCTAAGACTGAAATGAAGGATTTTGTAAAACACAACTCTTTTCATGTATAATAACTGTCTGGTCATTCCGCTTTTCAAAAATCTGGTCTGAAAAAAAAAACACTTATTAATTAAAGAAATAATTGACTCCGTTGTTTATCACGACGGAGGACTTGAGCTTGAGTTAATTCATCGGCCAAATTTTGCTAGATATATTTTAGATCAAGGTTTTGTTTAAAGCCCGACACTTTTGATGTTAAGTTAATTTTGAAAATTGAAATTCATTCTGTAATCCGAATCACTCTCGGTTTCACACCGCCCTGATTACAACGTGAGTTTGTTATATCATACACAATAAAATTATTATTTTCATTAGGTGAAGAAACACCAAAAATTGACTGACGTTTTCTACACTGCGTCTATCATCCAGACATGCGCATAATAAAGCGATGGACAATGCGCTGTCGGATTTTCTCTGCCTTGAGAAAGACAAATTCTTAGAGCGAAGTGAAATAGGGCTGTCATATTTTCGTGTCATAAATTGTTGGCAGGGAAACATGATTAGCATCTTCAATAAATATATCCTTGCTATTGAGGTCATTTTAGTTTGAAAAACAACCAATAACACAGTAAACAATAAATAACATAGTAAACTCACCACTTCCCTTTAGCTTCGTTTAATATAAAGAATACAAAAGCGACGACTGTCTCTCTCTTTGTACACTGGACTTTCTTTGTCTACAGGATAACTGTAAAACAATCATAAATTCATTCAAGACATGTATTTCTTTGATAAATCTCAGTTTTTGCCTCCAACACAAAGGTGGTATAAAGCGCATTGTTAAAATTTAATAAGGAAGACATGGGTAAAAACGTTGAGATATAGAGACACAGGAAAACTCCTCAGAAAGTGAAAGTTGCAGACGAAGAAAGATATACATGGACAAGCAAAACTAGAATTTACTGACGAAGGTAAGCTCACAAAACTGAAAGTCACAGATACACAGGAACACGCAAAACTGAAAGTCTTCATCGCGAACAAAAATGGCAGCAAAACGACAAATTC